AGCCACCGGACCCCCAGACGCGGAGGGGAATCAGCCCCATCACTATTGGCTTTTCACCACTAGTGACCTCTACAGTTGGAAAGCTCAGAATCCTAAGTTTTCCGAGAAACCGGCAGGGCTTATTGATTTATTAGACTCTGTTCTTTTTACCCATCAGCCCATGGGACGATTGCCAGCAGCTTTTGCAGGTCCTGTTCATGACTGAAGAAAAAGAAAGAATCCTTAATGAGGCCCGAAAACTAGTTCCGGGCACGGATGGGAATCCCACCACCAACCAGGCTCAGATAGATGCCTCCTTCCCCTTAACTCGGCCCCAGTGGGATTTCAACATGGCAGAAGATAAGGAGAGGCTCCGGGTCTACCGCCAGACTCTAATGGGGGGTCCCCGAATGGCTGCTAGAAAGCCAACCAATTTGGCCAAGGTAGGAAATGTGCAACAGGGAAAAGATGAATCTCCAGCTGCCTTTTTAGAACGGATCATGGAGGCATTCTGTACCTATACCCCCATGGATCCAGAGGCTCCGGAAAGCAAGACAGCTGTTATCATGGCCTTGTAAACCAATCAGCCATAGACATTAGGAGAAAATTACAGAAATTAGATAGACGAGGAGAAAAAAGTCTGCAGGACTTACTGGTGGTAGCCGAAAAGGTATATAATAACCAGGAGCCTCCTGAGAACAAGCAGGCTTGTGCCATGGCGGCTGCCAGCAGTAAGCAGACTCGAGACCTGGCCAGAATACTACTAGCTACCACTGCTGACTTCCCCGAGGAACGAGACCGCTGTCTCCGGCAGCTGGCAGACGATGCAAGAAAAGGTAAGGAACCACCAAGGGGGGGAAGCAGAGGCTGCAGAAAGATCAGTGCACATACTGCAAGGAGATAGGGCATTGGGCCTGAGATTGTCCGAAAAGGGCCGGCAGGAAGGGAAGCAAGACTGATCGAGTAAAAGTCCTAGGGCTAGATGAACTAAGTGATTAGGGGAGTCTGGGTTCAGACCCTCTCCCAGAACCCAGGGTAACTCTTAAAGTGGAGGGGACCCCTGTTGACTTCCTTGTCGACACTGGAGCACAACATTCGGTCCTCCGCACCCCACAAGGAAAACTAGCCAGCAAGAAGTCCTGGGTACAAGGGGCAACTGGTATGAGCCAGTATTCATGGACTACCTGAAGAACAGTAGATTTGGATATGGGCCGGGTATCCCATTCCTTTATGGTAATACCAGAATGCCCCTACCCGCTGTTAGGACAGGACTTACTGACCAAGATTGGAGCTCAGATAACTTTCAGACAAGGGGGGGCCTCAGGTCACCGATGGCAAGGGCCACCCCATCCAGGTCCTGACCATGAAACTGGAGGATGAATACCTCCTCCACCAGGAGGCGCTCCCGAGAGAGGATAATATAGACAGATGGCTACAAGAATTCCCCTCGGTTTGGGCAGAGACGGGGGGGATAGGACTAGCTGCTCACAGGACCCCGGTCCTGGTAGAGCTCAAGCCAGGAGAGAGTCCAGTAAGGATCAAACAATACCCCATGTCTCAGGAGGCCCGGAAGGGGATCCAGCCACACATCCGGAGACTACGAAGCCTAGGGGTACTAGTTCCTTGCCAGTCTCCCTGGAACACCCCCCTACTGTCAGTCAAAAACCCTCACACAAATGACTACCGACCAGTACAAGACCTCCGGGAAGT